GGGATTCGAACCCGCCACCTTAGGTGTACGTGGCTGGCGCCTTAGCCGGTTGAGCTATAGGCGCTGAGCCTATTATTATTTTTTGAGATAGAGTCTTGCTATGTCACCCTAGGTAGAGTGCCGTGGCATCATAGCCCACAGCAACCTCAAACTCTTGGGCTTAAGCGATTCTCTTGCCTCAGCCTCCTGAGTAGCTTGGGACTATAGGCGCCCACCACACGCCCAGCAATTTTTGTTGTTGCAGTTGTCATTGCTGTTTAGCTGACCCAGGCTGCGTTTGAACTCGCCAGCCTTGGTGTATGTGGCTGGCACCATAATCACTGCGCTATGGGTGCCAAATCACTGATCTACTTTTAAATGAAAAATGCCATATACTATCCTTCTGATCTTCAGAGAAATATCTCCTACTCTATAGAGTGTGCAAACCTGCTGCATTAAGGGCAGCAATCAATGATTTAGACCCTGCTGAGCCCTCACTCCCTCTTACACGTCTTCTAAACAAAGTGCATTACGTGATTAGAGTCTGTATTAGAGCTGAAACCAAATTCACTGTGCCACCTCAGATATTTTTTATTATAGAAGCCAAATAAAGTCCATATAAACAATGAAATGTTTATCCAAATAAATACAGAAATAAATCCCAATTATATGGATATGCTTCCATAGCAAATCCAAATTATCACAAAATAATAATCAACTAAATACAATTGGGAATAATGGGAATAATAATAATAATAATCAAGTTTAATAATGGGAATAATAATCAAGTAAAAACAATTGTTAAATAGAACATGATTCTCTAAATGTGATTATTACTGTCTAATATCCCCAAATCTGTTCATGGTAATAATTCAATCGTTTATAACTTTGTCTCTTTGTCTCTTTTAGAGCAAATCAAGGCACTCAACGGTAAGAAATGCCTTGCAGTTCAACCTTCTTCATTTAATTCCCACACATGCTAGAGGCAGAAAAGTACTCCATTTCATTTTTAAATAAAGAAAGGCCTAAGAAACTAAAAATACAGTTCTACAGATAAAAGGTGTCTTCCAGCAAAATAAACCACATTAATATTTTATTATTCTTTGAGGATATAAAGTATAAGTTTATTTTATGTTAGAGAAAGGGAAAGAGATGAGAAAGAGAAAGAGAGAAAGAAGAGAAACGAAAGCAGGGAGTTAGAAACGGGAAGAAAGGCAGAATGCCAGCCCCCAGTAATATTTTATGAGACACAGAATAACTTAACAGAATTTCAACCACAAAGAAAACCTGTAAAAACTTCAACCTGACAGCCAGTATTTTTACCATGAATTCTAACAAAGGAAAGCAAAGCCAACTAGGAAAACTGAAGTTCAAAGTTAAAGCAAGATAGTTTTCCAAAAAGACCACTGCCAAAAGAAAAGTTCAAAACAAATAACATTTGCAAGGTTCAAATTTTCACCTGGAGCAATAAAAGCTCCATAACATCAAATTCTCCTAGGAAATTTTCAGATCTTTGACATATACAGTAAGTTATTTGAGTACTTAGAAGAAAAATGCACAGCATACATATATATATATACACATACATACACACATATATATACCAATTTGTACTTAGAATTCTTCCTGAGTATTGAAAAGACAATTGTCCACAGACCATTGTTTTATTTCAGAAGAATAGCTGGGCTTATTTCTTCCTTAAAAACTTCAAAGAACAGAGCACACTTTCAAAGATAACATTGTGACATACATCCTTTAGGTATCACAATCAAAACATTTTCATTCAAAGGCCACAAAGATCTTATCATCTCATGTACAGAATGCGTCCAGCTACACAGACGTGGACAGCCTCAAGTTTGAAGTCACCTGGGAAATGCAGTGTGAGGGTGGCCGTGTCTGTAATCACTAAACCTTCTTGGCACTGTTACTCAAAAAGATCTTGTTCTTTACTTAACACAAGTATAGGCAAGTTGATCTTAGTTTTTCTTTTCAGTTCAGAAACTTACACCCACCTCTATTTAAATGTTGTTCCACAAAGAAAGGAGCCTATTACAGTATTTAAAAATAGGGACTCTCAGGTGTGGATATACAGAGGATTCATTACAGTTGCAGAGATGTTGAAATTTCCAAAATAAAAAAAAAGTGAAAGAAAAGGAGGAGAAAGGAGGAATAAAAGGAAGGAATACAGGGTAAGGAGAGCAAGAGTGGAACATGGAGCCAAGGGCAGGGTTTGAACCTTAGCTCTGTAACTTATTAGCAGTATGACCTTGGTAAACCTAAGGCTTCTCACCTGCAAAACTGGATAATAACAGCTACTGCTTTATGGGCTTGTTAGGAGATTTGAAGGAGAGAATATATATACTATCTGTCCACACTGTACATATACGTATTATATATATAGGATGGACATGAAGTTCATACACAATTTAAAATAGTTGTAACTTTTACACATGTAACAAATTAGTTATAGGCAATAGTTGTAACAAATTAGTTACATATGCAATAGTTGTAACAAACTGCACATGAACTTTATGTCAACCCTGTATAATTTTTTATATATGTATCACTTAAAAGAATGCCTTACAGGCAAAAAATTATCAAACCATTAACTTTTTTTTTTTTTTTTTTTTGAGACAGAGCCTCAAGCTGTCCCCCTGGGTAGAGTGCTGTGACATTACAGCTCACAGCAACCTCCAACTCCTGGGCTCAAGCAAGTCTCCTGCCTCAGCCTCCCAAGTAGCTGGGACCACAGGCACCCGCCACAACGCCCGGCTATTTTTTGGTTGCAGCCGTCATTGTTGTTTGGCGGGTCCGGGCTGGGGATTCGAACCCGCCACCTTAGGTGTACGTGGCTGGCGCCTTAGCCGGTTGAGCTATAGGCGCCGAGCCAAACCATTAACTTTTCTATATGATAATATTTACTATAATCAAGTAAGTTTGTTAGTTTAATGAAATTACAGCTTAAGGTTATTCACTAGGAATATATTCAGCATTTCAACAATACGACATGACCTTTGTAAAACTAAGAAAAATAACTGAGAACAAGAAATACATAGTTTTCAATAAATACTTTCGAGGGCTTCAACTTTTTATTTCAGACAGAGTCTCAGTCTGTCACCCTGGGTAGAGTGTCGTAGCTCACAGCAACTTCAAACTCCTGAGTTCAAGTGATCCTCTTGCCTCAGCCTCCTAAGTAGCTGGGATGACAGGTGCCTGCCACAGCTCCCTATTTTCAGTAGAGATGGGGTCTCACTCTTGATCAGGCTGGTCTCAAACTTGTGAGCTCAGGCCATCCACCCTCCTTGGCCTCCCAGAGTACTAGGATTACAGGCATGAGCCTCCCCGCCTGGCCACTAGGGCTTTAACCTTTCATAAGGCAATAGAAACAAGGACTCAACAGCAAGGCTGCCAACATTTGAATTCCAAGTCTGCCACTTGCTGGCTGCGTGACTTCAAGCAAGGATTCACTCAGTATTGGCTCAGTTTCTGTCTACCAGCTGGGGATGACAACAGAGGCACTGTGAGGACTGCATGAATTAATATATGCAAACTGCTCAGAACAGTGCCTGGCACGCAGTGAGGGCTATGTAAGTGTTAACATGAATTCCGTGACTAGTAATTCTCACCAGGAAACTGTTTGCCACCCTAAAATTGACCATTGTTAAACCTAACTAAAGTACTTAGACCAGGAGACATAATTTGGAAACTTATGTGCTATAAATCTTAACTAAACTCTTAGCTTCCTATTCAGAAGTCTCATACAGATACAATCTTGGTCATCTACCTGCAAATTCTACATTATCAAATACCACCACCTGCTAAATTACTGGCAAGATCCAAAGATAATATGACAGCTGTGTGTGTGTGCGTGCGTGCATGCAGTACAGAGTGACAACATCTGAGCAGTGGGAATATGTTTTTATTTTAATTTAACTATATTTTCTAATTTTCTGCCATGTCCATGCATTGCTTCTATAACAATAAAAGGTTATTTTAAAACACAGAAATGAAAGAAACAAATATCACATTTGTATAAGAAAAAAATCCACAAATCCCATACCTGTATTTATGAATGATGGCATTAAATAGTTTTCCGTCTCTCCAGCAGGTAGTGAAATTTTCACATCGAATTCCAGCATAACCTTCTGTTGCCTGCTGTGTCCACAGGAGCAATCTCTCCTTTGCAGACATATCCTCTGACTCTCCAGTAACATGGATATCAGATATCTAAATACAACAGGAAGTGTTAAACATTCAGAAGGAAGTTAACTCAGATTAAGAACCTACCTACTATGTGCAAAGCACTTTACAAGTGCTATTTTCTTTAATCCTCACAATTCTCACTTAGAAACTAAATTTTCTCCATTTTACGTATGAGAAAACTGAATTTCGAAGAGATTAATAACAGATTTTAAAAGTCAGACTTAACTCCTATGTGTCCAATATAAAAGTATCTAATATATTTTTACTATACCAAGACTTCACAGCATTGAAAATTCTACACTCTTCTTTGCTAATCAGATCTGTTGAAACAATGTGAGCAAACATTATTCTCGGTTGATCAGAGGCAAAAAGCTATGAATTAGTCTGCACTACCACCTGCAGCGCAGAACTTGGTCCCGCAGGTATTCCCTGCAAAGAACAAAGAAAGAAATAGTACTCGCTCCTGTCAGCTATATTAGGTAACAGTTTGGTTGGAAAGTCCCCACTTTTCTCTTGAGTGCTTGTTCAGCTTACTCTACTAAAACCTTTATCAACTGACTTTCCCCCTTCCTTTATTTTAAGTTCTCTAAAGGTCTCTTCCATTGAACACTAATGAAAACAGATCACCAATTGCCATGATTTATACTTTCCCTCTTGGATAAGGGTCCTACTTAATCTGCTGATAATTATATTGAGGCACCAAGTGACTTTAGTAAGGGTCACACAGTAATTCCGAGCTGGGATTAACACCACCACCAACTGTCCCCTCAATCAGTGCAGGAGAAACGCCAAGGGATCAAGAAGGCAGGCGGCGAGCCAGGACGAGGAGGAGCAAGTGAAAGAGACTGGAGTCAGACGCAGGAGGTACAAATCATTCCCTAACAGGGAAAAAATCCCCAGAGCGGGTCATGAGACAGGCCGCAGCCCTGGCTTTGGACAGTTCGCGTCTGTAAAGCAACTTCCTCATCTATAAAGCGAGCAGGAGGTGGGAGGAGGTGGATTGTGCTTAAGGCCCTTTTCAGCCTAAAGTCTTCCTAAGAGTCTATAAATACAGCACAGGAGTCAGGGGTCAGAGCAGGCAGAGCCAAGCGACTGAACAAGAATAAAAAAGACTCCAGACTAAAGAAAATCTTTCCCATGTGGCAGCGCCAGGCTCAGACAGGAAGCCCTTTATCCTCCCAGCTGCCCTAGAGCCAGAGGCGCGGCCAGAGGAGGACCTGGGGCAGTGGACGCTCTGGGCAAGCCCGGCAGCCCCTCACACCACACTTGCTGCAAAGGACAGTGGGGGCCTCACACACCCTCTCTCCGGTGTTGGGTGGCGGCAGCCAAGCCCCCGGCGCCTCTCTCGGCCACCATCTGAGAAACTCTTTGACAAATGCCCAGGTTTTCAAAGTGAAGCAAACTTTCTCAATTTTAATTATCCTTCCTGGGAATCTGTGTACTCCCTGTAGCATGGCTACAAATGAATGGTGTGCATGAACACATTATATCGCATACAGAGGGATTTCTTTTTTTTTTTTTTTTTAATGTGGAGGAAAAAACGAGGATTAAAAAAAAAAGAGTATCCACCCGTATTTTTCCACCCAGCTTTCAATGGATATGCTGGTCTAAAACTCTGCTCGGGTGCCCTCCTGGCGTATCTCATGAGTTTGAACACCATTCCCACCGTTTACATGGCCAGTTACTTAAATACCTTAGAAACCCTTCACTCTCTTATAACATAATGATAAGAATAATTTGTACTGAAAATTCAGCAACACCAGTGCAGTGCAATGCCTGGCACATAGTAAGTATAAACGCGATACAGGGTAACTGTTTTACTGTTGTGGTTATTGTTATTCTCTTTGACAAAGGGAGAAGTGAAAAAAGACTTTTTATTCTCTCAATTCTCTTCCTGTGAAGAGGAGTAAAAGAATAAGTATTTTTTTAAATCTACTGCCTCAAATTAATTGAAATCTATCAACACAAGGGTTCAAAGAAACTAATCTAGAATACTGTGAATGAAAAAGTTAAGCCTCCAGGTAAAATTTCACAACAGGTGCCTGTAAGCCTGCAAAAATAATAAAATCAGCTGCTTTGGGGGTACGCTTACAATGCGGGAGCTATATGGGTGGTGTTTGTAGCAATACACTATACAGAAAAGGCAGGCAGCTGGGGGAAGCAGGGACTGTTTTCTGCTGATTCAAGTGCATTCCATGTCAGTCTAGTTACAAAAGTAATTACCTATTAACTAGAGTAGTCAGTAAATTTCAACTACAAGGTACCAGTATAGCAGGCTCAAGTGCTACAGGGCAGTTTTACTAGAGGAAGAATGTGGGAGGAAGAGTTTAGAGGTCTGAAAAGGGTCAACAAATCAGTTAAAAGAAAACACTGTATTCTTATTATGTAAGTTTCCAATGGATGAATTTCAGATTGTTGCACACACTATTTCGGACTGTTATTCATATATATAGACTATTAAAAAGCTGTAATTTATGTTATGAACCAAGTTTGAACATATCAAAGACTAAGACATTAAGTCATTTTCAGCATCATCTTGCTTTTCCCATTTAACTGAACATCTTCCTCTTATGGTAACTTAAGGTATTTTAAAAAAAAATATCCGGTTACCATTAGCACTAGGCTAAGGATATCAGACTTTTCCTGATACTTTCTACCCAAAACAAAAAAGAAAAATAAATTAAATGCTAAAAATTCTAAGACTGCAGTTGCCATTCATAATCCCTGACTTGAAATCTGTGTGGTTCAGGGAAACAGCCTGAATCCCTCATCAATGACAAGTTAATTGATGGTTCCATATGCAGGTTAGATCCTAGGAAGTAATCAACCTGCCTCCTTTCAAAACCTAGAGGCAATAGTGATGATTAGAGATGGTTTCAACTCCTGCTGCCCGAGTTTAAATCTCAACTCCAATAACTAATGAAATGCATGGCCCAGACTACTCACATAATCTAAAATCCATTTTCTTCATCTTTAAAATTTAAACAACAAACTATCCAAAACAGACATCAAGAAAGCAATCTCATTTATGATAGTTTAAAAAAAAAACTTAGTAATAATTTTAACCAAGGAAACAAAAGACCTTCACACTGAAAACTAAAATATTATTGACAAAGAAATTGAAGACACAAATAAATGGAAGAAAATGGAAAGATATGCCACATTCATGGATTAAAATAATGAATATTTTTTAAATGTCCATGTTAGTCAAAGTAACCAACAGATTCAATGCAACCCCCACCATATTTCTCACATTTTTTACAGAAATAGAAAAACAACCCTGAAATTCATAAGGAACCACAAACAACCCCAAAGCGCCAAAGCAAGCTTGAGCAAAAAGAACAAAATTGGAGGGACCAAACTACATGACTTCAAAATATACTGTAAAACTACAGTAATGAAAACAGCATGGTAATGGCACAAAAACAGAAACATCGATCAAGCGACCGATAGAGGGCTCAGAAAAAAATTCACACATTTCTGATCAATTGAATTTAGGCAATAGTGCTAAGAACATACAATGAAGAAAGGACAGTCTCTTCAATAAATGATGTAGAGCAATCTGGATGCCCATATGCAGAATGAAGTAAGATCCTCATCTCACATCACAGTCAAAAGTCAACTCAAAGGGAATTAAAGACTTATACTTAAGACCTACAACTGAAAAACTACTAGAAATCAAAAAGAAAAGCTTCTTGACTGTGCTCTGCACAATGACTTTTTTGTGTGTATGACCCCAAAATGACAGATAACAAAAGCAATAGACAAATGAAATTACATCAAACTAAAAAGCTTCTACACAGCCAAGGCAACAATCAACAGAGTGAAGAGGCAATCTACAGAAGGAGAGAAAAATATGTATTCGCAAACCATTCATCTGACATCCGGTTAATATCCTAAACATATAAGGGACTCAAATAACTCAATAATAAGAAAACAACCCAATTTAAAAATCATCCAAGGTTCTAAATAGACATTTCTCAAAACAAGACATTCAAATGACCAACAAGTTTGAGAAAAAATGCTCAACACTACTGAGTATCAGAGAAATGCAAATTAAAACCACACTTCGATATCTCCTCACTCCTGTTAGATTGAATATTCTTAAAAATAGGAAAGATGCAGTGCTGGTGAGGATGTGGAGAAATGGGAACCTGTGCCTGCTGCTGGCCGAATGTAAATTAGTACAGCCATTTAAGAAAAACACTGTGTGGTTGCTCCCGAAATTATAAATAGAACTAATATAATCCAGCAATCCCATTACTGGGTGTAAATCCAAAGGAAATCAAATTAGTATCTCTCAGGTGTCTGCATCTCCATGTTTCCTGCTGTGTTAGTTAACAGAGCTAAGATATGGGTCACCCTAGGTGTTCCTCAATGGAAGAATGAATAAAGAAAATTCGGACACAATACAATGTGTCTTCTTTTTAGCCTTAAAGAAAAAAAAAGAAGGAAATCCTGTCCTTTGTGACAGCATGGATGAACCTGGAGGACATTATGTTAAGTTAAATAAATCAGGAATAGAGAGTCAAATATTGATAGATCTCACTTATATGCGGAATCTAAAAACATTGAACTCATAAAAGTGGAGAACAGAACTGTGGTTACCAGGGGTTGAGGGTGGAGAACGGAGTGGGGCCAGGGAGATGGTGGTCAAGTAATAACAAAATTTCAGTTCAATAGGATGAAGAATGCACAATTTCAGGACATCTGTTAGTTGTACACCATGATGTCTATAGCTAATAACAATGTACTGTATTCCTGAAAATTACTAAGAGAGTAGTTTTTTTTTTTTTTTTTTAAGAGACAGAGTCTCACTTTGTCACCCTCAGTAGAGTGCCCTGGCATCACAGCTCACAGCAACCTCCAGCTCTTGGGCTTAAGCAATTCTCTTGCCTCAGCCTCCCAAATAGCTGTGACTACAGACACTCACCACAATGCCTGGCTATTTTTTTTTTTTTTTTTTTTGGTGCAGTTTGGTCGGGGCCAGGATCAAACCTGCCACCCTCGGTATATGAGGCCGG